CAATCATAGAACCCGAAACTTACCCGCACATGGTCGGTTTCCAGATTTTGGACTTTGGAACCGACCCTGCTTGTCCGAACCGGTTTCAAGGTCAATCCCGACAACCTTTCGATTTTTTTTTTTTTGGGTTTATTCCTTGAAATGACAAACTCACTCTTTTAAAGTACATATCTATCAACACCCAATATTTAGAACCACCATACTTAGCTAGCAACAAGTGAAGAAGTCAAGAAATCATTCACAATGGACATCTATTTTGATTTAAGAAAGATAATATACGCAAGCCCAATTATCGAAGGAAAACTTCATTTCTTCTTCCATATATCCAGAAGGAGATTCTGTGTATGATTCAGTGACTATTTCCATTGTCAGCAGCGACATGACGATGCAGGTGTGTTGGCAATCCTCTCCCCAACGACCATTGAGCGCCGGGCGTGGCGGCTCGAGTTGATTGCTTTATGTCACAATCTGGATTCGATGCTCTTCTTTTCCTTTCGTCTTGGCAACGACACTACAAATACCTAAATTTTTTGTCCATTTTCCATCGAGTATGTAATCATTTTTCTTTTAATCTAATACCTCAGCTTTGTAAACGTGGGTTAAATGATACCCTTTGTGAAAATCACCGCGGGAAAATGTCAACTTGGACACTAATGTCGTTAAATAGCCATTAACTATCCATATTGGCATCTAGTATAGCCTCTTGAAATGATGTCGCTAACAGATCCATATTGGATAGCTAAATTAAACCAAGTGGGCACCGTCTTGCTCCTCATCACCCGCTACATAAATGGAGATGGCATAATTTTTGCTAAGTGAGCAAGCCATATTACTAATTGTGCTTAAAATTTGCCAAGTAAGTGAGTCGTATCAACAAAATTACATGACATGTCAACTTATTTAACCGAGCCCTCGCATTGAGTTAAATTTGAAAAATTGAGGTACTTGATTGAACAAAAAAATGTTTAGGTGCTCGATTGTGAAAAGAACATAAATTGAGGTACTTCATTACCCCATTTTTATTTTAAAGCCCTAAATGACTTAGCTAGATTTCGAGCTCTGACTTGATCACTGATTAGCAAAATCTCTGACACAAAAGGTGATCTTAAACGGCATTTGACTAAGGAACTCTTAGGGCCCGTTTGGCAACTTGTCAAATAGTAAAAATTTCTGTTCTTTTGTTCCAATAATTAGTTTGGGAACAGAAATCCGTTTGTTAAATTTTTTTTGCCGGGCACAATTTTGCAAAAAATTGTTCCCAGAATCAGTTTTGGAACAGAATCAAGAAGCAAAAAAAAGTAGTTTCTTGATTCTGAAACAATTTTTCCATTTCTGATTCTTCTTGATTTTTTTCTTTTTTTTGGTTTGTTATTGTTCTTCGGCTTGCCGCTCGCCGGCCGCCGGCGACTGGCCACAAGCCAGGGTCGGCGAGGGCAGCTCACGACCATGACGGCGAGGCCTCGCCCAGCCAAGGCGAGGCCGACCTCGCCGGCCCTGGCCTGTGGCCAATCGTCGGCGCCGGCGATCGGCCATGACCAATGAAGGGAAGGGAAAGAATGAAAAAAAAGAAGAAAAAAAAGAAAGAAATATTAAAAATTTCAAAATACTATTAAAATATTATTAATAAAATGAAATTTTGTGTAGTTACCAAACACATTTCTGTTCTTTTTTCTATTCTAAGAATAGAAATTTTGGGCAGGTACTGTGCGTATGGTAACGTTTCTATTTCTGGGAACAATTTTTTTTCAGAAATAGTGTTTTCTATTTCTATTTCCCGGAAGAGTTTCGAGCAAAATAATGCGTTTGGTAAGCTGACAAAATTTCTATTCTGAATAGAAAAAGAAGAAATGCGTTTAGTAAGCGCACAAAATTTCTATTCCCAATTTTTGCATTCAAATCTATATCTTTTATTTAACTATAAGTACAAGTTATAAGTGAAAAAAATCAATAAGCATGATTTATTGGTTTGTCTAATCCTTTTTACGGGTTTAAAACCCCTCTTAATCTCTAAACTAAGGAATCTTCAAAAATACCACTTGGGCACCTCAAAAATTTAAATTTCACTCAAAGTGGGTGGCGCGGGTATTCTAAGCCATTATGTGAATTTTTTTATATTTTTTGGGGTAAAATTTATTAAAATTTTTTACTTTCCCTAAATCTGTTTCTTTTTTTTTCCGAAAATTTTTTATGAAATTTTTTAATTTTTTCAATTTTGGAATTTTGCAAATATTTAAGGGTTTTCTGAGTTTTTCTGATTTTTATGGATTTTCTGAGAATTTTTTGATTTATATGAATTTTGGGAATTTTTAATTTTCTAATTTTTATGGGATTTTTCTGAAATTTTTCTAATTTTTATGAATTTTCGGAATTTTTTAATTTATTCATAGCCATTATGTGAATTTTTTATTTTTGTTTTTTTTTGGGGAAAAGTTTATTAAAACTTTTCACTTTCCCGAAATTTGTCTCTTTTTATTTTCCGAAAGCTTTTTATGAATTTTTTTTAATTTTTTCAATTTCGGAATTTTTCAAATTTTTATGGGTTTTATGAGTTTTTCTGAGAATTTTTCTGATTTTTATGAATTTTTGGAATTTTTTCATTTTTTATAAATTTAATTAATTTTTTATAATTTTTTTATTATTTCCGCCGAGAATGGACCGGACCATTGCTTTGAGACGGTTTGCGGGCGACGGAGGATGGAGGAGGAGCGAGGTCGCGACTTGAGGACTTGACCTTTCTATTTCTATTTCTATTTCTAGGAACAAATAAGTATATTTTTTCTACTTCTTATTTCTGCTCCAAATCTATTTCTTGGCCACTTTTCTATTCCAGGAAATAGAAAAATAAAATAATCAAATGGATTCTGTTCTTTTTGTTCAGGAAGAAGAACAAAAAATAGAGAAACAAGCGTTACCAAACGCGCCAATGCCTTCAAATGCTTAGAAATTATTTTTGGGTACGGAATAAAAAAGAATCATTTCTGAGCAGAATCAGTTTTCGAGTACAGAATCGTTGTCATGCGCCCCCTTACTGTCTCTTATACCAATTGACAAAGAACGTATATTGCTCTAATGCCAAACCATTTTGGCCCCATGAATTTCGAGCCGGGTTGCTTCTTCAAGCTCCCAGTCTTTTATTTGCATCCCAATTGGTATTGGGTGGGGATGTTGAGTGGAGATGTATGATTATACATGTTCCCATTTCCAGAAACAATCCAGTCGTCTTCTCCAATTCTTGGTTTTGTTCAATCTTTCTCTTTCTAGAAAAATGGTAGGACAAGTCTTAGAACTCGTAATTTTTGTGAAATTGAGTCCTAAAAGCTTACTCCATTCCTCTAAATCCTGAAACTTGCAATTTGATGCACTCTAGTCATTTTGCACTATGCAAATCGTGTTCTTTTAGGGGTTGAGATGGTAAAAAGGGAGCCGACGAGGAAAATAAGCTTAGCGGCGAGAGACGAGACATACTTTATAATTGATGCATTTCTTCACCATCAGATGATGAGAAACAAGGTTAAGACAACGTTGTTGGCTTATGACAACGTGGTAAACCATTCCAATGAGGTTTTTGATCTCTGTAAGAGCAGACGGGGTAATTCTTTTAGTCTGGAAACAAAACTATTTGATGCTGAACCTGAAGTTTGGAGAGATCATCACCGTATGCTCTTTGTTAGATATGTTTTTTTTTTTTGGTCAAATTATTAGATATATTCTTTATTGGAAAAATAACACAAATGGTACCTGAATTTTGACCAAATATACAATGTGGTCACCGTACCTTTAATTTGTTCAATATGATCCTTGAACTTTGGCCCGATTTACAATGTGATTCCTAAACTTTTAATTTGTTGAATATGGTTCTTGAACTTTGTTATATGTTCAATTTAGTCCATGGACTATTTGTAAATATTCAATGTTGTCCTTGAACTTGAATTAATGAAATAATAATATTGTATAATTTCATATAGTCTAGGGATCAAATTGAGGGATCACATTCAACAAATTAAAAGTGTATGGACCAAATTACACATTGGGATAAAGTTTATGGATCACATTGAATAAATTAAAAATGTAAGGATCATATTTCATATTTAACTAAAGCTCAGGGACTATTTACTAATTATCCCTTCTTTATTAGATATGTTTACGAATGTCTACTTTAGGTCTCGTTAAATCGCATGTTTTGCTATGTTTTGTACTTACTATAGGTACAAGCTCACGCAAAGAAGCGGGTGACCGCCCCTATGAACAGCTATGATGAATTTGCTTATGTTATTCGGAAAAGATGGAACAAAGACAGGTGACGTCCAATGAGGCACGCCACTTTAAGATATTCTGTGCTTGCCTCCTTCCTAGCCTATACAGCCTATTCAGGATAGCCAACCAGCTGATGAAGCTAATGTTTGAGGATGTTGTGAGGTAGGGCATGAGCTCATGCCGAGACATAATACTCCATCGTGATATAAAATAATTCATGTCACCAAATAACATATATAATATTTTTCCAAATTGAACAATTTATAATGATTATTATAATTTAATTTGAGTTGTATATCTTAAGTGAATAATTCACGCATATTTATTATTTTTTTGGTCCACCGTTCAAACGTATCAAATTGAAAGCCAAATCAGCAAAGTTTGTTAACTTGAATTAATGAAAAGATATCATGAACATTTACATATAATCTGGATAAAAAATTAAACATGTACCAGAAATTCATGGACTACATTGCACGTTAAGTTAAAATTCAAGGATTATATTGAACAAATTAAAAGTTCAGAGATGACATTACACGTTAGGTCAAAGTTCAGAATCATTAGTTTTGTCATTTTTCCTAAAGTATAAACATTAAGAAATTTGAAATGTACGAGAGACAAATGCAATTTTAAAATAAATTAAATTCTAATTTAATGATGCGAATTGGTAATTGGATTCGAACACGGGCGACAGGCCGACACAGCCCGCGGCCGTAGAAAAAGTCGATGTAACAAGACAAATGGATCTCCACATCTGTCGTACCAAGCGTTGCCGTAAACGAAGTACAAATAGACGGGACCATGTTCGCATCTTGTTTCAAGCCCAACGTAGCATCTGCTTTAGGTCCCAAGTCCAACGTCGTCTTCTCCCGCTGCGCTCAGATTTCGTCGAAGGTATCGAACTGAATTCACTCCCATCTTTGTCGTGTCGTCCTCTGCTGAAGCTGAATCTGTCTTCGAACTGCTGCGATCGAACGTCGGACGAGAAGTTCTTTTGTGTTTCTTCCGCTGAGACCGGGTGTCTTTCGCAGATGTCCAATCGACTGTCTTTTTCCATCGGTCCTGCTCGTTTCGATAGAGTTCTTGGGTGGGGTGGGGGGGTGGGTGGGGGTTTTGGTCGGCGTCGGCCTGTCGGGTACTTAAATTTTGCGCTGCGCTTGGCTAGCTGATCACCCGTGATCGATACATGTGACTGGGTGACGGAGGGGTGCTGAATTTCTTGAAAAAATGAATGATTTTTGCTACCCACTGGGTGCCTGAGCTTGTGATCGGAACTTTTGATTTTGGATCGCTGTGTAGGAAAAAATCTCGTGTTTGGTTAGAATGGATGGGAAAATTCCATGTGTTGATGGCCAAAACGGTTTCTTTCTTGAAACTGCTGGTTTTAAGCGGTGGATCGTGGAGCCATTGTTGTGGGCACCACCCAAATGCATATGGTCCATCGGGTTCAAACCCATCCAGCAGATTCCTACGGTCTGGACAAATCGGGGTTTCGTACACCCGGTTGTACCCATTAAATTTTGTTTATGGTCGATGTCAACTCCCATGAAGTTTCTGCTGACTGTGAGTTGGAGGCTGTCTACGGCCACGGGCCACAAAGTTGCTGTCAATGGCAATTCGGCAGTCATTGCCATTTGCAATATTGCAACTTTGTGCTGTCGGGGTGAATTTTGGCGGTTGATGGCAACTTTTCTGGGTGTTGACGCTGCTTCTTAGCTTCGCCTGCACTTTATGTTCCATATTCTTTTTCTCTTTTATGATTCTTTGCAATAGTAAAGGTTGAAGTGTAGTAGATGCTGATCGGAAGTCTGCAGATGTCGAAGGAACTTGAGCCTTGTCACTTCGAATTAGCTTTACTTCAATGTTGGAGATTATCGAGGGGCAGTGTTGGTGGAAAAACCCGAAGGGAGATAGTGGATTTTAATTTTACTGGACATTTGTAGCTTTTAACGATTATTAGATTCCTCCTTGCTGAATACCCTTTTTTGGGTTAGAACCTTACTGAATAGTTAAGAGGCACCAAATGCTTGGAATTTGGTGTTAGTGACTTTTATCACATGTTCAGCAAAATTTTTGCATAAAATTCCATCAACTTATTCCAGAAAGCTCGTTTACACTTTTTTTTCCATTAATTTGAGCTAACCGTATGGTTGAATTTCTCTTTCTGTTTAAGTGTTTGTCATTTGAGTTACTCATTGAATTATCATGAAAATTGCCTTAGAAATTAACCGGAAGTGTAAAAATCTTTCTAGATAAATACCTAACTGTGTGGATTATGTGAGAATCAAATGTAAACTTTCTTGAATAATCCTTAAAATAAAGATACCACTTCATCCATGTGTTTTTCTATTGGTGTTTTGAGCTTTAAACTTCCACAATAGCAGCTTCAGAAGTTGTTTAATCATTTGGTGAATTTGTAAGGAAAGAAATCTTTTAATCGCTTGTAAGATCTCTTTTATTTTTTCCATTGTAGCTGCTACTGTAGTTTTGAGATGATAGACTCTTTAACTGATTATGTTTTCCTATGGAGTGCCCAGAGCAGTATTCAGATGGCTCGGTCTGCACTTGATGAGATGGCCGATTCTGGTGCTTTTCTCAGAACGGCTTCCACATTTCGTAATTTTATTTCGAGGGATCCTAGTTCACAGTTTCCAGCAGAATCTGGACGGTATCATCTTTATATATCATATGCCTGTCCGTGGGCTTCCCGATGTCTTGCGTACTTGAAGATCAAAGGACTCGACAAGGACATCAGTTTCACGGTAAATTGCATTATAGGTTTAGAGTTAAATCGGGATTAACTTTACTAAATTGGGATCTCCAAACATGTTCAGTCAGTCAAACCTCGGTGGGAGAGAACAAAGGAAAGTGATGAGCATATGGGATGGGTTTTTCCTTCTTCAGATACTGAGGAACCTGGAGCTGAACCAGATCCTCTTAATGGCGCAAAAAGTATAAGAGAGCTTTACGAGTTAGCTAGTACCAATTACTTGGGGAAGTTTACAGTCCCTGTAAGTGACCTTTTGCTGACGAGTGCTGCTATTTGTGCTTTCTTTCTTTTCAAAATCAGCATTTCTTTTTCTGATCTTTTTCATTTGTTGTCTCATCTGATGACCTTTCTTTTGGATTAGGTTCTGTGGGATAAGAAACTCAAAACAATTGTAAGCAATGAAAGCTCTGAGATCATTCGCATGTTCAACACCGAGTTCAATCACATAGCAGAGAATGCTGCTTTGGACCTATATCCTCCTCACTTGCAAACTCGTATTGATGAAACCAACGAATGGATATATGATGCCATCAATAATGGTGTCTACAAGTGTGGCTTTGCCAGGAAGCAGGGGCCTTATGATGAGGTAATTTCTCTTAGTTTGTACTTGCAAGCAAGAATTGTCATTCCATTTGTTACTTAAAGCAAGAAAGAGTAACTTAATCTTGAAAATTACACAATCCACTCTTTTAGTTTGACAAAATAATAATCATCATGTAGTTTGTTTTTCAGTTGCACTCTTTCATGTGAGACCCGTTAAAACCACTTTCTACTGATGATAAGAGCCTTCATGTCCCATAGAAAATGGCTAATTTGTTGATTAATGTGGTTCTTAGAAAATGAAATCCCCTATGCCACAGAAGCTTATAGGTCGAGGACCATTCCCTTTGAGCACTTTTTCTTCTGATAAAAACTTTGTTAGGAATTCTCCCTCCCCAGGTTCTGGTACACAAAGACCCTCGTTAGTGCCTCAGGGCAAAGCAGGACAGGTGTAAATGTCAGGTTCTTTAGTCTAATAATAAGATAGATATTTACATAAAAAGAAAAACTAGAAAATGAAATTTGACTGCCACAAATAGTCACCTCCCTCCCTTCTCGGCTTTCTAAAACACTGCTCATCATGTAAATGCTTTAAATTCCATTTGTCTGCTTCCTCTTTCCTGAATAAGAGTTCATTGGTGGTGTGGTTGTTGGTGATTTTTTAGAAAATTATGCTGGTGACACCATAAAATACAGTAAGTCCGGATTTATGAACCCAGTCGAGGGCCCTATCCCTAAGTCTGGATATATGGATCACTTCCTTAAGTCTTGGGATATGGATCCAGTTGAGGGCCCCATCCCTATTGATTTTGCAGTGCTTTCTTTTAAGAGTGGCAAGTGTCTTGTTCTTACTGCCGTTGGCAGTGGAGGGAATGGTGGTTTGTTGTGGACATGTGGAGAATGTGATGACTCAGCTAATTCCTTCGGGAGATTGTGTGCGCCCTATCATGTGATTCAGCGTGCATGCAAATGAAATATTGGGAAGTTGATTAAAAGATACAAATCATGGTGGGCATGGTGGCTGGTCGTAAGACAGTGCTCCAAGAACAAGAGAGAACTCTGGCTTTTGATGCTGAATAACAGCAACCATATTCCTAGATGACGTGTTTGCAATGCTTACCTATGTAGAGGTTTATTCAGGTGTTTGATTGGCTGGTCTAGCTAGAGAAGTGTAGAGAACTTGATTTGATTTTATGCTTCTTTTTTCCCCATTTGATTAGCTTTTGCAATTCAAGAATTAACTATCTAATTATCTCTAGTCATTGCACATGGCTGATTTTCTTTTAGAGTGTTGATTGAGTTGGCGACTGAGTCTTTAATGATGTCATGTCAGCAAAACCTTAGTGCTAAAATCTTGATCCGTCTTGTCAGGCAGGTGTATTAGTATGGTTCCTTCATAGACAGGTTTGATTGATGTGGATTGGGCTTTTTACTGTAAACACTATCTGTAGAGAAAAAGAAAAGTCAAAACTGGTCTTAATCAACATGCACTTGTTGGTTTTCTATTTAAGTGACTACCTTTAATTTCACTTGGACGGTGATTGAGACTGCTCAGGGAGAATCTTTTCTCCAGCGGCGTTGTCTAAAATTTAAATCCCTATATTGCCAGATTGCAAGGGTGGAAAAGTTTTAATTTACTCAAATCATAAGTCTAGTGATTGTACTTTTTAATGAATCTTTCTGATTAGTTGCTTCTTCTTTTTTTCAGGCTGTGAAGAAATTGTTTGATGCTCTGGACAAGTGTGAAGAAATACTTGGCAAGCAAAGATATATATGTGGCAACACACTCTCTGAAACGGACGTTCGGTTGTTTGTCACCCTGATAAGATTTGATGAGGTAGTGGCCCTTATTATTATGAGATATTTGGGAGGTTCTGGTCTTATCTTTGATTTAAACAAGCTTGCACTAAAGCTTAAAAAGCCGTATGAGACTCATTTTAGAAGAACTAGGATAATCATGTCTAGTTGAATGACTTCCCTTGTCATAGAACAAGACAAGGGAAAAGTAATCCATGATCTTTTTTTTTAAGGAAAGCTCTTTTCTTGGACCAATTGATGTCTAAATAGTGGTATGCATTGCCCATGATACTTAAAAGTTACGGGCAAGCAGTTGTGAAAGATAAGTTCGGTAAGATAATGAAAACTATACTTTTTTCTATGTTGTTTTTCAATACTCATTTTATAGTTTCTTGATAAATCATGCTATAGGAACTACCCTTATTTTCTTTTTCTTTTTTTTCTGAAAGAGAAACAAATGTACGAGCAAAGTGTATGCATATAAAAATCATTGCAGAATGCAAAAAAATAGGATGACTTTAGGTTTATGAGGATCTGCAAGCACTATCTTCTGTGAAACTCCTTCGACGATCTTTTGTCTGGATCAATTCAATCATCTTTTGACTTTGCCTCGTCTTGATGACAGGTTTATGTGGTTCATTTCAAGTGCAACAAAAAACTGCTTCATGAATACCCGAATCTGTTCAATTACACCAAGGACATTTTCCAAGTGCCCGGCATGAGTAGCACTGTCAATATGGAGCACATCAAGCAACATTATTACGGAAGCCATCCGACTATCAATCCGTTCGGTATCATCCCTTTTGGCCCCAACATCAACTACTCTTCCCCTCACGACAGAGAGAGATTTTTCTAATCAATGTTTACCTCCTGTATAGACCATTAAGATGTTGTGATGTTATTTGCAGTCTTACAGTGTCTTGAACACAATCTAATAATGGGTCGGGGACGACCCGAGGCTTCATAAGGTTTCGACATATGCGGTCCAAGCCTGTGCTGGAATGCTCCGCGATTTCCATGCTTGTATCATGTACCTTAAGCTTGTTGTGTTTATGTATGTTGTGGTATAGTACCATGGTAATGGTGCAGAATTGGTGGATTTTGTCATAGTGGTATCTTGAATTATAATGTTGGTCATATTAGCTCCATCTTGATTCTTGAATAAACATTGGTTATGCATGAATATGGTTTGCCTACTAGCCACTGTGGCCCGCAATTTATGCGGGCATGAAATGATAGGGTAACTAGTTTTCAAGTTCATGATTTGATTGGCAAAGTTATGCAAGTTCAGGCATTTGTTTTTATGGGACAAAGGGGAGATCTTAATCTAAAGTTTGACCATTGTACCAAGCCTCTAAAAATGTGTCTGCACTTTTTACTCGTGACTAATTTCACTAGTTATTTTCAATTGATGCACAAATAAATAAATTCGAGTTTTTGATCAATCGAATTATAAGAATAATGAAGTGAAATTTGAAAAAAAGTATCACATACAAAAATTTTGAAGCAGACATGTTCAGAATATAGTTGATCTAATCCCCCAACATATTAGGCAATTATAAGAAAATATCAAGTTTCCTAAGACAGATTGAAATAGAGCAACAAGCGTATTTGGATTGAGGGAAGTAGAAGGAGATGAAGGGGAACAATAACTTAGGAAAATATTTCTTTTATTTGGCTAAATGAAATTAAAGGGAAATAGAGGGAATTAGATCGGTTAGTGATATAAGGGATGAAAATTATATAATATCGGATATGGATAAGTATATACCGTCAATTTTCTCAAAAGTATGTGACAAAATTCGGTCTTAATTTGATGATATATAAAAACGGTTTTATCGCAAGTTTATACTAATTGTATGATAAATGAGAAAAAACTATAGGGTCATTCAGATTACAAGATTATGTAAAATCGCGCTTCTAGTAAATTAATTGTTTTGGAACTTCCTACTATCTAACGAGAAATCAAACGGAAAATAACTTTATACGAACTAATATATCATGATAAAATCACAACTCTAATAAATAATTAATAATTGACATGATACATCATTAATTGACTGATGAAAAGTTGTTAAATAATTTGAAAAATGAAATATTTTGTTAGTATAATTCAACAATTATTTTTATATGTGTATAATAAAATATATTTCAAAAGAATGAATACCGAGCTAAGTGGTGGTCAACAATTATTTTATACGTGTATAATAAAATATATTTCAAAAGAATGAATATTTCTCCGTAAATTCAGCGCAAGTAACGAGAGATGGAAATTTTTATAGAAAATCACGTATATACACGAACTTTACATAAAAGTACGAGTATTTTCTAACAGAGAAAATAAGAACTAACAATTTCTCCCCGGTGCATATTTTATTTTCTCCAAAAGTGAGATTAAAAGGAAGGAAATGAGACAACCGAGCATTTCATTTTCAAACTACCTATTTTATCTACAAATATGAATAACACGAAGCCTAATTTATTCTATAATCTCTTTATTTCTATTAACTTTTCTTGTTTCCATTTCCTTCCTTTCTCACTCTCTCTCTTTCTTTCTTTCTTTCTTTCTTCCTCACTTTAATATCCGGTGACTCTTCGGTTTGTAGTCCTTAACGCTCAAAAAGGGCCTAAAGCAATTTCTATTTATTGGATAACGACATTGCTAAAACTTGTGTCGATCTGTCACTTTAGTTTTAGTTTCTTTTTTGTGCATTGAAGTACCAAAATTGTGTCATCCTTCATGTTAGTCTGTTTGTTAGCTTTATTAACTTTTTAATAAATTTTCTTGTCCACTTGGCCAGTGAACCCTGTTAAAAAATACAAAAGCTATTATTTATGGTTGTAATGTCAAAATATCAAGTCGGCTCATTCATCTTTACCTTGATAGTTATAATGTGGGGTTTGTTCTTATTTTACTTGAGGGATTTGAATGACCCCCTCCCTAGGGGCCATGTCTCAATCCCAACGTGACGGATTATCCTCTCGAACTAACTTCTAATCATCGCCTCAGTAAGATCAATGAACCTAAAGAAAGAATTGAGGGTTGGGTATTTTGCATCCAAAAGGGGTGACATCAATTTGTGTTGAAAATAAACTGGAAAGTAAATGGTAAAGAGTGGGGGATCGCCTGGTAGATAAAAAGGACAAAGGGGCAGGTCATTGCACCCTTTTGTTGCCTTGTGGGCAAGGAGGTTGGCCCTTGCATAAATTTGGGCGAGGGCAATGGGCGACAGCAAAGGCCCTCGTTCGATGGTGGTCGCAATAGAGCTCGCCGACATCGAGCGCAGATAAGTTAGCCCTTGCGATCGCCAATCGAGGGTCGACTGACCCATGCTCGGTGGTGGCGAGCTTTGTTGAGGCTACCACTTAACAAGGGCCCTTGCCCTCGTCGATGGCCAGGGGAGAGGCCACCATCCTAGCTGCGACCCTGGGTAGAATTCCTGACCCTCTTCGAGATATGCGCTGCCCCCTTTTGTCCCATTTGACTCCGATCTTTTTCTCAATTATTCGATTCTTTCACATTTTTAAATTTTAATTTTTTTAATTTATAGGTTTTTTTTATGAGGTGGCGCCATTAGCATCACTCGTGCAAAATATAATAAAAAACTAATAAAAAAAATGCAGACATAGTTTTTTTGTCCCTTAAAAGCTAACAGAGCCGACAGTTGAATGCACGAGAAAAAAAGTCCGTACACCAATGTGAGGGATTGACATAAATTTTAGGGAAAATTTCAATTAAGGACCCCAAGTGGGGTCAAATTCTCAAAAGGGGTCAAAGTGAATATTGTGTCGAATAAGGCGCGAAGTCTTAATCGGTTTGAATAAGGACTGAAGTGCCCAAAATGTCTCAAATAAGGACACGGGTCTCCGTAGGCCAAAATACTGCCGCCGGCCGTGAGAAAGTTCTTTAAAACTTAGGAACATTAACTTTTTAATTTTTTTATTATTTTCTTTCTTTTTTCCTTTTCTGTTTTTGTTCTTTTCCTTTTCCTTTTTTTTTTTATTTTTTTATTTTCTTCCTCCGCCGGCCATAGCCCTCCGCGGCCCGGTGGGTCGCGCGGCTCTCGGGCGAGGCCGGCCTCACCGGTGCGAGGCGAGGTCGAGCCTCGCCGTTGTCGGCGGCCGGCCTCGCCCGATTCTGTGCGATGTTGAGCCTCGCCGTTGTCGGGCGAGGCCGGCCTCGCCCGATTGCGAGGCGAGGTCGAGCCTCACTCGGATTGCGAGCTAGGTCGAGCCTCACCGGTTGCGAGCCTCGCCCAGGCACGGCGAGGCTCGACCTAGCCGCAACTGGTGAGGCTCGACCTCGCCTGCAACTGGCGAGGCCGGCCTCGCCCGACGCCGGCAAGGGCGACCTCGCCACCCAGGAGGCGGCCTCTGCGAGGCCGGCGACTCCGCGGCGGCTATGGCCGCGGAGGAAAAAAAAAAAAAAAAAGAAAAGGAAAAGGAAAAGAACAAAACAAAAGGAAAAAAGAAAGAAAATAATAAAAAGTTAAAAGTTCTTGTTCGGCGAACATAATCTTTCTCGCCGGCAGTATTTTGTCACGAGACCTGTGTCCTTATTTGAGACATTTTGGCACTTTGATCCTTATTTGAGATCGATGAAGACTCGGCCTTATTCGACACAATGTTCACTTTGGACCCCTTTTTGAGAATTTGACCCCACTTGGGGTCCTTAATTGGAATTTTCCCTAAATTTTAGGACTCTCATAGTCGATATTTTTTTTATATTCTTTGGAGCTTTATTTATTTAGCAAAAAAAATAATTTCTTAAAAATAATTATTTATATTGTTAAAATAGTTAATTAATATTTTTTTATTATCAATAATAATTTATGTCGAATCATTTTTGATAAAAATATTTTTAATTAATTTAAAAAAAAAATAGTTTTCAAATTATCCAGACAAAGCCACGTTCCTACCGCGGGTGCGGCCATTTTGCATCTTCCATCCGTCTCCCTCGAACCAACCCCACGCGCCGCCGCGGTCCTCCGCCGCACAAAAGTCATGCCATGGAGGGTCGAGGGTGCGAGCGGCTGCACCGCGCGCTCAGCGAGTGCCACCGCCGCGTCCCGTCGGACCTCGCCCGCGCTTCCGCGTGCCGGCACCTGAACAGCGCCCTAGCCCAGTGCCTGGTGTCCGAGGCCTGCCCCGACGAGTCGGAGGCCGTCCGCAGCCTCTGCGCCAGCGGCGGCACCGCCCTCAAGCGTTCTCAGTGCCGGCAAGCGCAGCTCGATCTCTCCGTCTGTCTCGCTTCCCATCAACGCGATTGACTCTCCTCGACAACCCCAGATACCGCGATTTCCTCCTGGGTGATTTCCTCATCGACCGCAACCTGTAGTGCGATCTTGCGTTTGTGTATATTGATTACGGATGTTGCTATGATCTGATTGTCTTTGGGCAATCGTGCAATTTAAGTTGGAGTTCTGTGGAATTGATGTCTTTCACTCCATGCATTGCTGCTTGCTTACATGTTTGGTTTGAGCTTGTGACAACAATGGTCGAGTATTGATTCCTTCTTGTTGTTATTCCCAGATAGAGCAAAGCAGTCTCGCAGGGTGACTGATTAGAGGGATCTTCGTATCTTCCCATGAAGGTTGTGTTTCGGGGCTCCTGGTGAACCGTTGGGTTAGTTACTTTATATCTTGAGCATCATTGCCTCTACCATGAGCAAGAAGATTTTCCTACTCTACGAACGAGTATTAGTTTATCTTCAATGAAGGCATTTTACTGCACTTAGTTCTTTGTTTGGCTCTCCTTTGAATGATAACGCTTCCCCTGATTGGTGATGTATTGCAAAATGTGCTTACAAATAAGTTGCTTAGTAGAGATTAGTGTACTTATGTTATGCCGTCAAAAAGATTAAAAAGAGGGCCAATTAAAAGGATGATATTGCCTAGTTGGAATCGGGCATCGTTGAGTCTATAAACATTTTCGAGCTATTATTCTTGTGTTGTCAATGTCCATGTCAGTAGATGTAAAGTTTCAGTTTAAAGGCCTCGCACGATATGTTCTGTTGTCAGGACATTACCTCCCATTTCAAAACAGGACAATGTTTAAAGGACAGCTGAAAATGTAACATTTCACGTGTATGAAAATGCATAAATATTTTAGTAACTACACACTTTAGTGTCTCCTGGATTTCTTAATCTGAATCTTTATATGTGAGAAACATCTGATAGTTCTCTGATGATGGAATCTGCACCTGGGATGATTACTAAATTATGGTAGGGGGATAAAGACAGATAATTGCTTAAGTTCTTTCTTTCTTAGAATTACTTCATACTTCTAGGACTCTCGAGTTTTTAGGAGTATTCAAGTAAGACAGAAGTTGAATCGAAACAAAGGTATTAATTTATTTACTTTCAAGAATCTATGTATACTTATATTAAAGAAAATACTTAAATGAACCTCATATAGATGAAAGCCCCCATTTTGACCTGAGACATGGATGCTGATAAGGGCACATTGGACTTGGGATGTTATGCACAGTTCCTTATATTAATTTATTGAGCTTTTGGAGATGCACAGTTCCATAGATGTTATGCACATTGTGGATTCTGCAGAAAATTTCAGTTTCCATTGTCTGTGAATAGATGACAAGTATCCACAAATAGGCACAAAATTGACTGAGGAATTAATTTTCCCCACTGCCTACCTGAAGAACTTCCTTGACAGTTTCAGTTGTCTATGAACTTATAACAACTTTAGAGTCTTTGACTTCCTTGGCTGCTAGAGACAGCTTTGACAAGTTATTTAACACTGCAAAGCCTGTTAAGGAAATACTGTGCAGTGCATCTGCTTTCCATGATGCAGCTGTTGCACATGTTCTATTGCTTTTTTTGTTCCCCTCTCCTTTCCATTTTCCATAACAAAGATGAAAGAAAGGAATAGCTAAATAAAAATTAAGATGGGAAGTTTCTGCCAGAATTAAACGAAGGACTGTCCTGGATTACCTAAGTTGAATCGCAATAGCTAAATAAAAATTAAGATGGGAAGTTTCTGCCAGAATTAAATGAAGTACTGTCCTGGATTACCTAAGTTGAATTGCCGGCAACTTGGCGAAGTCCATGTACATGCTATTGGTCAGGACTGTGACACCAAATTGGAAAACATTTATATTACCCAACTTAGATGCTCACAAGACACTGGAGAGAATCTTGGAGAACTAAAAAATTTATCTCACCTTTAATTCTCACACATGCATGCACAGCAATAGAAAGTTTTGCTTTAGAATTGTTTCTTTTCTTCATAGCATATGTCCTGTTATTTCTTTCTGTCTCCTTTTGCCTGTGATTGCTACAGCCTCTGCTGGTAGATGCATTCAGCAATACATGTTTTAGAAGTGTTGCAGCAGATTAGTGTGCAGTACCATCCGCAGTGGAGATATTGGTAGTTCAACATTGTCGATATAATTTCGAGTTTGTTTATATCTCAACTATTAGTAAGGATTATAGATGTTGGGCTTCTAGAATAGTTAAAATAGGAAATCTTTTAATTTACAAACATGGAAGAGTATAGTTGGGACAAGCACCTATTGATGACTTATCTAAAATTTAGTTCCAAAGTTCTGATTTTACTGGTGTCTCTGTCAGACACCACTGTGGAGTTGCAAACCATAAAGCAGGATTCATCACTAGGAGTTGGGCTAACCAGGCACCCACTCTTCTAATTGATTTTTTTACCGTATTTATCGAAATTAAACTGTTCAGTTTGACATGGATACTGCTGAAGGTTGCCTCTGCAAAGTTTTCATGCATTTCCATGATAGGACATCACACCGTAGTTTAAATAGGAAATATGTTTTTTGAGTCTGCATCATTGGCATTGGCCTGCCTTTTCATTTTTAAAGCCTTGCACTGGATAATATTTCCTTGAGGAATTTGCTAGCACTTTTGCAGTATGCTTTTCCAAAAGTAATTTCTGGAAGCCAGTCATCAATAGTACACCATTTTCTCTCTATAATTGCAGTTTTTTGAGTAATTCTTTGTGTAGTCATTTTTGAACTGCTCACTCAGAGTTTCTCTCTTTGACTAATTGCCTATTCTTTTCCATTGCTACACTGCAGATTGTATGAGTGAGAGAAAGTGAAGGCAGCGCATTGTACATTACAGTGCTTCTATCAACCTACCTTTCGATCTTTTATGAAGAAATATTGCAGGCATATTTCTTTGGGAGGTTGCCTTTGATTTTGCACCATATTTTCCCTTGTATATATCAATTTGTAGTGTGATCTTTAGTCTTATGGTGGGTGAGTTGGGTGGCTTACGTATTTCCAGCAAACATACTTATGCATGTAACCTAGATGAAAGTCTTACTCGGGGCATACTGTTCTTGCATCATAGGTGTTGAGAAGGCATGTCCAATAATTGCCGATCAGATGAACAGTTTCAATTGAGTTAACAAGTTGTTTGTGATGCTTGTGCTTGGAAGTATATTGTTCAATACTTTGCCGAATGATGTTTCAGAGCTTGCTCCACTCTCTTCCTGGATTTAATCTTCTCATCTACTTTCTAGACAATACATAACTTGTTCCGTGGGCGCAAGAAAGCATGCGGTCGCATCAAACAGGGCGGAAGATGTCTATGACACAACAACGAAAACAACAATCTATCCAACATGTCTGTTCAGCTGATCTCCTCTTGCACAGTTGAGAGCTCTTTCATATCAATCTGCTGAAAGATCTGGATTTTCCAGGTTTTTCGTTACGTTCTCTTCACCTGTCTTCCGTTGGTCTTTCATTACTCTTTCGGATGATCTCCGTTATCGAGTCGCGTCTTCTCATTCGAGTGTGCCAAAGCCAATGAGCTTCTCTATCTTATCAATTTGTAGATACTTATTGTGGAGTGCCATCCTCACGTTTGTCCAAACATTACATCCGCTGTAATATGCTCCATTCCTGCTATATGCTCCTCATTTGGCACACATTGGGGCTTCACCAGCGGAGGACGCAATGCGAACTCCTTTCATTTCTTGTCGACTTTGTACCTTCCCGTCAGTGCCAGCAAGCCCTTACACTCCTCATTCAGGCTTTGAATGGGTCCATGGGCTTTGGGAAGTTATCTACCACACACCTGCAAACTGATAAGCGATCCGTATGCATGTTTCCACTTTGCAGATCAGAAACAGAACTCAAAAGTGTCGGTACAATTTTGCACATATATATTGGTATTTTGTATGTCGGTACAATTTTCGAATACTGTTCGCTGGGGTCGCTCGAACTACAGTAAAACAAAATGATTAAGGCATGCAACTTGCAGCAGGAGACAAGTCTCTACCAAATGAAAGGAGAAAGAAAATTGCGGCGAGACAAACACGTAGGGAAAGGCCCGTCCATTTCGCTTTTCAAGGCTCTTTTTCTCTTTTTATCTGTTGGGTGTTGTGGGGTCTGGTGTTTTGTGGACTTAAGGAAAAATGTTGAGCAGCATACTTTTCTACACCTAAAATTCCAGTTTTGGTTGAAAACACACTACGAGATATCTGCTCAATTTGACGTCGTGGGTCCGAAAGATCTTGTTGCCAAAAAGCAATGGCGATGAAACGAAAAGTTCTCCGCGTTACCTACTGTAGAGAGAGACAGCGACGGTGAAAAATGAATTTTGCTGCCGTTGATACCCGACTTTCGACGGAGTGTGGTGTGGCCGTCGATGCAGCATTAGGGGGATGGCGAACTTGATTTTGTCGTCATAGATTGCCCACGGTGGTGAAGTCAATTTTGTTGCAGAAGATCCTGTAGCGGCGAAGACAATTTCGTTGCCATCGGTTGTCAATGGAGACAGATCTATTTTAATCTCCATAGCTCACATTAGCCTGTAGGGACGAAATTACATTCGCCATATTTGATCTATTTTGACATCTTTGATTAATTTTTTTTATCTTCTCTTTTACCAATTAATTTGTTAATTTAAATTGCTCATAAATATATAATCAAGCACATGAAGATCTGCGAAATTCCATCACACTAAATATTGTAATATATGTTCCACGTGACTAGGATAAAAAAATTAAAAAACATAGTACCGCGTCTATGTTCTACACATCATTTCAACAGGGAAAAAATAAACATAGTTCCGGACATAAGCATAAAATACTCCATAGCAACAATTTCTTCATCCTCATCCTCATATTCTTCGTCCGAGCTGCTCTCCATCGAAGTCCAGTGCACGTCCAGCCAACGTGCATGCTTCGCCCCGTGTCGATCCCTCTCCAGGAGATATTTGAACCCCAGCAGATGGCACAAACGGAAATCAGATCCAGAGACAGAACCTGTTGAACGATAATCATCCCGCATTTGCTCAGTTGATGAGATAAATAGGGTGAGGAAGACGGTGCGTATGACTGTAATAACTACTAAACCATAAGATATCACCAGCAGCCTCTGGCCAGCTGATCTTGTCTTTTGGGGAAGAAGAAGTCAGCACTTGTACGTATCCATAGAATGAGGTGACAATATCTAATGAAATACACCAATCAGGAGCTTTCACGCTGATGGTCTCAGCTTACTTTCCTTTGAAAAGCTATGTTTCTTCCTGAAATACCAGGACAAGTTTCTCCGAATCTGAACAATTTGCATCATGTAATCGACATTGACAAGGAATTGCGACAAGTTGTTCATGTACCAACGAGTTACAGTTGCTTCTTAATCGAGAACAATTATCTCGGCCAAAGCACCATAGGAAATGGCATACATTATGATTAATGCATATGCTAGAAAAATACCCGCGCCGTGCTGCACGACATATATCATTTTTATCTATATGCTTTTCGTTTGTTCCCAAATAGTAAACTCACTCCTCGTTCTACTGGTACACAGTTCATGGTCTTCTTTTTTGTTCTTTCTGGGTTGAGGTGGTCTTGGCCCCTCTTGTTTATCGAAAGTTTCAATCTTTGGATCTATTTCCAATTACAGATAAAGACCTTTGAATTCTAATGAAGTTCAAACTTGTTGTATCCAACATCTGGTGAGGTCAAAGTAATAAAATTTGGGTCAAATCAAGAATAACTGTAATAGAGTTTTGAAATGTTGCCCCAACTGATTCACAGGATGTGCCAATTATGAGATTTGCAGGACATTCCGGATGAATAACAAAAGGTTTAGGACCTATCCGTGATGTCCCAATAACCTAGATCTTTGGAGTCCTAAATCTTTCTATCACTTCTTTGTTCTTTGTTTCTTGCCAACCTCCAAAGTTGCCATGTAGGCAATATCGGCTGTCGCTTAGGTAGTTTCCCGTACAAGGAACTGACTGCACTTGATGTTAGGGCTTCATTGCATTAAGTTAAAAGAATAAATAATTACTTCCAAATAAAAGAATAGAAGATGTTCTCGGCAGCTTGTCCTTATCTTGTGGGCGAGCTCCACATTTGCGTTCCTTATTTGACATCCCGGTGCTTGCATATGTTACATCCCAAATTCCCCATATATCTTTGTCTTCATGGGAGAGAAGGAATATCCTTTAGAAGTTTTATATCTTGATGATTCGGCACCCAGAAGAGAACCGAGATGAAGCCATTTACGGACATGCTTAGGTCCAAAAGAGTTGCACTATTCCCACTTCATAATAATGAAGGTTTAGGTTATAATGTTTAGATCCAAACTAATCCGACTAGAAGCATACATGTGAGGACATTTAGCACAGTACTTGATACTTTTTACCATCCCTTAAAGGATAGTTACTAGTGAGAGGACGTTAGTCATCAACACATCGATAAAGTTTCCTATTCTCGACAATGTTTACTACCAACAATGATTTTGGGTCAATTGTTAGTAGCTGTTATGAGGAGATCTAATAAATTCCTATGAAAACTTACTGATCGTGGATATAATCCGAGTTACAATCACGTGCGCACACGCAATTGTGTCATGTTAAACATTGTGTATGGTAGAAGCTTGCCCAATGACATGTTAATCACCCGTGCAACATCTAAGAAACCTTACTCATACATGGTATCCACAGCCTAGGAAATCGTATGAACTGAAACCGGAACTGGCTCGAGCTAATTGTTTTGGGTCTTTTCGAGTTTTTCTTTGGTTCGAGTAGTAAGTAAAACAACGGGCTTCTAATGATTCAGTTTAATTCTAGGTTATAAACCTGAATTGAGACGAAACACGTCATTGAACTTGTTTTGAAACCAAAACAATCAGAGTAAATGGTGTTTACACTAATAAAACTTGATAACCCAATCATGTATACGCACCCGCTCTTTGTGTTCATATCGGGTCATATATTTTTGGAAATCCGGACCGAGTTGACCTACCATCACCCCTAATACTTGTCATTTGCTCCCTCTCAAGAAGAATTCTTTTCTCCCGCGAACGCACCTTCAATTTAATTGATTTCTTCTTTCTCGCTCCAGTCCAAATTCGAACCCTCGACATCACTCTCCTTTCAGTTTAAACATGACTTGCGGCACAGCAACTGCTTTTTTGGGCACATATTTAATTAGATAACTCAACGCTTAGATCGTGTGATGACATGGTAGTTGAAAAGATGGCGATAAAGATGATGTGATTGAGGAAAAAGGGTTAAGATAACATAGAGAGAGAGAAGAGATAGAGAGAGAGATTGCTCGGATGTCGCCCATTCGAATGATGAGAGAGGGCGAAGTAAAGGTGGCAATGATTGCAGATGATTGGGAGAGACTAACTTTTCCAACTTAGGTTTTTGTTGGCCACGTAAATTGTTATTTTATCATCCCATTCGTCAAAACCCTGCTATATAATACTCTAGATGAACCCACATCTTGGACTAGAAGATGATATATCTTCGAGCTAGCTATGAAGGCACTTAACTATTCTGCTTGGCCTAAGTTAGTGTGACAGTTTCCTCAGGTCATCATGCACTTCCGATACGAAAAAGTTAGTCCATCGAATAGGGGGGGTCGCGTGATTGAATTACATTCGTTCACGCTTGTCCGACAATAATTGCCATTCGAACTTTGACTTTAACGTGAAAACGCTTTCTGAAAACTAGAATACAAAGCTCTTATATTGAATGTCAGTTCTAGATGTAAAATCAAGAGAGGGGTGGATTAGTTGAAACGTAATTAAGTATCGATTTTTAAGCGTGGGTGCGGATTTGTTTTAGCACCTCAAAAACTATGGACTCTAAAACTTCTGTAGACAGTTGTGTGAATGCAACAATAAAAGCGATATATGCAAGTATATGCAATAATGATGAGAGATAGGAATAGACGGTATCGAGACAACATTCCTAGTGATTTGACTTTAATTGTGCCTACTCCACTCTTTAAACTCTAGCAATCTAATCGGGTCTTATCTACTTGCATCAGCAAGTAATACGAAATGATTTCGCACGGAACTCGTTTCTCTGGCAATTCCTCTGTTGATGCTCCACAATGAAATTAACTCTTGCATAAACTGTAGCAGTCTAATCAAGTCTAATTCACTTGCATCAACAAGTATTACAAA